TGGTGTTAATCTCTGTTTATCTGGGTGATGATTGCTGGTGAGGAGATGTTCTGGCGTTTTGTTTTCTTTTTTATTGTCACTTTTTAATAGTGTGTAGATGTTGTTTATCTCTATGTGCCTATTGATGGCTGCCTTGTCTGAATACCAAGCTTCCAGGAATTCAGAGTTTGCTCTCTGTATATAAATAGAGAGCAAACCCCATTCCATTCTAGCACTGAAGATATTACCTAGCTGGGTAACGAAATGTTTGCAAGAAACCAGCCAAGCTCAGAGAACCCCAAGGACTCCACAGTTCAACCCTGAGCTACACATATTCTCTTCAAGAGGTAACGAAATGTTTGCAAGAAACCAGCCAAGCTCAGAGAACCCCAAGGACTCCACAGTTCAACCCTGAGCTACACATATTCTCTTCAAGAATTGAGTATTTCATGTAAGAAAGGCCTTGGAGGAAGCCAGGTTAGAAGTGGAGGTATAATAACCCAATATTTGCCAAAACATTTCTATAATATTGCTTAGATGGCTCTCAGCTCCTGAAAAGGCAAACGAGAATGCCTCTCTCTTTCTTACCTCAAGCCAAACCTGTCTTCTTAATAGATGGGGTGGTGGCCATTGGAAATGGCCATTTTCATTCTAACATTGTAGAAGACACTTACTCTGACTTAAGTCAGCTCTGCTAGCAAGGCCAAATTGAAAGATATGTGAAGGATCGCTCTTTGAACGCACATTAGTACTGCAAACAACTTTCTCCAACTTACAGCTCAACACATCAGAAGAAAATCAGACTGGGAAAGGCTGTTCATGACCATAAATTAAGCAGTTACCAGTATATTGGCTTTGCTCATCTTGTAAGGGAAAAAAAATGCTCTGTGATACATTCCTTTGCCTGGACCTGCCCCCAGCTTGGACACCTCACTGCAAATAAAAGTTCAGAGTTTATTCGCTGACACCAGGCCAAATCTCTCCTCTGGTTCCTGTAACTGGAAACTCTGATATAACAGACAAAGTAACACAAGAGCAGATCTCTCACAGCTCAGGTGTCAAAGCTGCTATTCACCTATGCCAAAACTAACATTTGAAGGAAAAAAAAGACACCCAGCAGTTACGTCATATAGGAAGCAGACCGTGGCTATTGCTAAACCTATATTGATGGGGATTGGGGGCTTTGGGCAGGAGGGGGCAGCTGGGTTTTTTTACATTGCAATTTTTCAGCAATGCTCATGGAAGGTAGGGCTGGATTGGGGGACTGTTTTTCCCTCGTTTGACAGGGATTTTTAAAATCTTTTTGAATGAATTAAACCTGACAAAAACGGGTGAGAAGCAGTACTGTCGCTATTTGATTGGTTGCAAAATATAGCACAGGATCTTGTTAAGCTTTAGCAGCCCCAAAAGGGATCAGGATGCAAAGTGCCCTCCCCGACTTCCGTACTGGTGGAATATTACTAAGAAATACACCCAAGACAGAGTTGATAGGATACAGAATGCTATGCTGTATGTCATGTCTCAGCCACTACCTGTTCTGCAGGGGCAAGCCAAACCAGATCTGAAAAGAGTATCTGTAGCATGCTGAGATTCGAAACTGTCATCATATCAGATGGAGTAGCTATAAAGGCTTTTAGTTCATTACAGAACAGCTAGATCAGAGGAAGGAGCATAGCTTAGTGACAGAGCTACCCTGCATGCAGAATAAATCCTCAGGTTTAAATCCTCAGCAGCTCCAGGATGGGTAGGGAAAAATTTATGTCTGGAAATGTGAAAAGCCTCTCTGCCAGTCAGCATTGACAGCATCAAACTAGATAGTTCTAGATTCAATGTAAGGCAGATTCCTAGAAATATTTTTGCAACAATGCTTTGGCCAGGTTTTTCTACCAACACTGGAAACAGAGAAAGGACTCTCCATATATTGCAGACTGCACATCCCATAAATTCTTATTGCTGACCATGGCTGGGATGGGAGTTACAGTCCATCACAGCTGGAGGGTCTAAAGTTCCTCTTTTTGGCAGAGAGGTCTGCCTCAAGTTGGTTGGGAATAGGGCTGACTTTTGGGGTGTACATATTTTTCTAACCCTTCAAATTGCAGATGCACCAATATTTCTCCTCCCCCTTTTGATGAATAAGCATTGGCAAAGCATAGCCCAGTGCTTCCCAAACGTGGATAAATTACCCAAAATTGGGTAAAAGTGGTTTTTCTTTCAGTAATGACACATGAAGCCATTACCCAATCACAACAGGGATATTTAAATTGACTTAAAGATTGCTGTGTATACTAAAATATATTCAAAAATCTCCCAAAGTATTCCTGTTAAGATGAAAATTGATGAAATTACCAATAGTAATTGTTTGAAATGACATAAAGATCATTCAATGATATTGTTTTTATAATACAGGTAGTCCTCAAATTACGACCATTTGTTCAGCGACTGTTCAAAGTTATGATGGTGCTAAAGGAAGGGACTTATGACCAGTCCTCAAAGTTCTGGCCATTGCAGCACCCCGGGGTCAAATGAACAAAATTCAGGCGCTTAGCAACCAGCTCACATTATGACTGGTTGCAGTGTTCTGCAGTCACATGATCACCATTTGAAACCTCTCCTGTTGGGTTCCCAACAAAGTCAATGGGGAAGCCAGCAGGGGAGGTTGCAGGTTGCTTGGGTAAGTTTTCCTCACCCACCACGGCTTTCTTTGCTCACATGCACCGCCCCTCCTTCCGCCCTTCACTCGCTCGCACACACCCACCAGGTTTTGGGTAATGGAGGAAAAAGTTTGGGAAGCACTGGCATAGCCATTTCAGCACAGAACGTGACTCTAAATTGAGTTAGGGGGATCCAGTTCTATGTTTCAATGAGAACAGAAATCATCTTTAGGAAAATGGGAAGGGGAAATTTCACAGTAAAAAAGATAAAAAATGGCCACCGAAAGGACAAAATCAGCTCTCACCAAGTCCTTAAAAATGCAGGTGTACCACCCACCTATCAAAATGTATTTATTAGACAAATAATATATGCCTTAACAGGTTTGGAATGAAACCGCAGGAAAGAAACTTGTTGATTAAGCAAATAAAATGCTGCAGAACTACAGAAAGGCAAGAGTGATTCAAAGGGTGTCATCCAGTCCAACTAATTAGTGGCTGAGATAAAAGCCTTTATAAAGCAGCCTTATCCAATCTGGTGCCCTCCCATAATTCCCATCTTCCCCAACCAGCATGGCTATGTTACTAGGATGCTGGGAATCATCGTGCTACAGATATGGTGGGTCCCAGTTTCCCAGCACCTGCACAGCTTCAAGGGTTTAGTTCTCCTTTGCAAGCCATTTGTTTCAAATTATCAAAATAGTTTTTTAATTTAAATCAAGGTTTCATCCCCCTTTTTCCCTTGGGAAATCTGTTGGGGGACTACAAGCCAAGAATGCAGAAGGCTGAAGCAAGCAGAAGATGGGGGGTGGGATTCACCCATTTTGTTTCTGACCTCTCTCCTTCTCCCTCAGGGAGCAGGATGTTCAGAAGGGAGAGACAGATCTTACCAGAGGGACTCATGATGTTAGTCTGAAGGCCACAGATGGCTGAAACTGGTTTGGTTCACAAAACAGGCTTAACTATGCTCAATGGGAAGTTTGTGGTTCAGTGTGCTGTGGGAACTCAGCCATTGTTTTAGACTGTTGTGTGAATTAGGCCATAGTATTAAGCAAAATGGCTGAATTTCAGTGGCACCATTCCAGACTTTTTCATGGGGTGGGGATGGGGAAGGGATTTTAAGGGTGAGGAAGGGAATGATTCCCATTCCTACCCTAACACCCCCTCTCACCGAAGTCCAAAACGCTCTGGTGATGTCACCAAAAAGTCAAAAACCTTAATAGCTGACCCAAACCTTGAAACTTTACCCATTCCTGCATCAAACCACAATTATTTGGGCATTTCAACATGTGGAAGACAACAAAATGAGATACAAAATGCAGTAACATGAGAGCTAAGGAATGATGACAAAGGCTAATTCAGAATAGCATAATGAGGAGGGACCTGAAAGAATTAGGAGTAAGACTATTTAGATCAGGGGCAGGGGCAATATGACTGTTGGAAACTGCTAAAGATTTACCTGAGACTTTGTACATGCAAAGCCCCTGAACCATGATCTCTCTCCATCTTGCCAGTATGTACCAGCAGACTGAATACAGGCAAAACCCCAGCTGGCTAACTACCTATTATTTATTCCAAATTTATATGCCACCCATTCCCAAATAGCTCTGGGCAGTCTCAGATATAACTGTCATGCTCTTCCTACTGCCACTTCCATCTAAACCCCTTAAAAATTCTTGGAGAGGGTATCTGATCATTCACAAATCACATGAGGTTGATGTACTATAACACAATGTGTGCAAACAAGTTTAAAGCAGCTACTGCCAGTTTTTTTTTTTAGCTAAGCTAGGAGAATTTCAGACCCAGATAACCTCCCCTGAAATGTCATGACTCGTCATCGTTCAGTATACTTGCTTACTCATCACTAGAGTTTGCAAGAAGGAGAAAAAACAAAATCTGTGGCAATGATTTCACTGATGAGATCTGTAAGAATCAGGAATACAGCTACAACTTCTAACAGTTAAACAGACTCCTCAGTGTTCACAACCATCAGAGGAAACCTATAAGTGGGGGGAATGTGACCAGCTATTATGAGGTAGACTTAAGAAGAACAGAAGCCTCAGACTCAGAGCAACCTTTCCCAATTGCATGTCCTCAGGGAGCTAGATTTGGTCAGGTTGGCTGGGGTTTATACAAGTTTATACTCAACCCATTCGGAGGACACTAAGTTGGGGAATTGATAACACATCTATAGGTTGGCCCCAAACTGGGATCAATGGGGAGGGCTGGAGAAAAACCTTATGATCTACTCTAGTGTTATCACCAAAGCTTTATGGAAAAATTCTCAAAGAAAAGTCAAAGATGGTACCAGAAAGGGGGACTCCCAGGCAAAAAAAAAATCAAACATGCTAGTGGGGAAGAGCAACAATGTGCTATGAGCAGTCTAGGAAATGATGATGCAGAAAGAGAAATCCTTTGAGGAGCCTGAACACTGAAGAAGCCTATGACAAAAGGAACCACCTGCACTGGAAGAAAATGAACAAAGTTGATATGTGGAGCATCACAAGCATGAACCATGGGAAGTTAGATATCAAGAAAGAAATGACAAATACCAAATAGGCATTCTTGGCATCACTGAGATCACTTTTGGTCAGATGAGTTTATGGTGTACTGTTCTGGAAGTGACACCATCAGAAGGAATGCAGTAGCGTTGATAACAAACAAACAAAAATCACCCAATATTTGACAGCTTCCAAGCATTAAATGAAAGAAGAATGGCTGTTCAGATCCAAGCCAAACCTCTGAATGTCCCACTTGTCCAAACTTATGTACGAACAACAGAAGTATCTGAAGAACAGCTCTATGCCGACATTCAAGAAGTGTTATAACAAGAGCTGAAAAAAGATAAGAGTATATTTTACGGGAGATTTCAACACCAAAATTGGAGATAGTGAAGAAGCAGAAATTGTTGGCAGATTTGTTTTAGAAGAAAGAAATGAAGCAAGTGTCTACTTAGTCTACTTCCATCACAGAAACTGGCTGAGGATTACCAATACAAGGCTTGTTCAACCAAAATGCTGTTGTACACTTGGACATTGCCAAATGTATTGTACTGCAACTAAACTGATTACATGTTATGAAGTCAATGATGGAAAAACATAGTTATCTCTGTTCAAACTTTCCCTGCTGCAGATTGTGACTCGGATCATCAACTGCTTGTAGCCAAAGTCGGCTTTAATTCAAATTCTGCAACGACAAAATGAATATAGTACCTAGGAAAGGCAATATTGACAAGATTTCAACTCTATAGGTCAGTGTTGTCCAAACTTGGCCACTTTAAGATGAGTGGACTTCATGGCTGGCTGGGGAATTCGGGGAGTTGAAGTCCACTCATCTTAAAGTGGCCAAGTTTGGACAACACTGACCTATAGAGTTGAAATCTTGTCAATATTGCCTTTCCTAGGTACTATATTCATTTTGTCGTTGCAGAATTTGAATTAAAGCCGACTTT